AGGCAAACATTCAGCCGCAAATGCTAAAAATAAACGGGTTACGGAACTGCCATCATGATACCGGCGGGATCCAGACTTGCTACGCAGCACAAACGAATGGGTCTCACCGTTCCATTCTCCCTGTTGAATGCGCCGCGCAGAAAGTCTAGATCCAGGCGTAGAAACCGCTCGCATGAGACCCTCATGCAGGAAAAGAACATCGGGCAGCCAGTATCGTTTTGCGGTAACCCTCTCGCTTCACAGGGTTTTGCGCGTTTCACATCTGATTTGGCTTTGGCAGCTCCAGCACAAAGGTCGCAACTTTAAGAAGTACGCTGTAACAGCGCAACTCTTCAGCACATGTAGGAAAGGAAGTTTTCTTTGGCAGGTGTATACACCGGGATCGAGAGTTGCTACGCAGCACAAACGAATGGGTCTCACCGTCCCACTCTCCCTGTTGGATGCGCCGTGCAGAAAATCTCGATTCCGGAGCCCGGCCGGGTGAGTGGCCAAACGAGTGTCTTGGAGACAAAGAGGCCACCAGAAGGCAAACATTCAGCCGCAAATGCTAAAAATAAACGGGTTACGGAACTGCCATCATGATACCGGCGGGATCCAGACTTGCTACGCAGCACAAACGAATGGGTCTCACCGTTCCATTCTCCCTGTTGAATGCGCCGCGCAGAAAGTCTAGATCCAGGCGTAGAAACCGCTCGCATGAGACCCTCATGCAGGAAAAGAACATCGGGCAGCCAGTATCGTTTTGCGGTAACCCTCTCGCTTCACAGGGGTTTGTGCGTTTTCACATTTGTTGACAGCTCCATCTCGAAGGTCGCAACTTTTCAGCACAAGTGTGGTGAAAGAAGTACGCTGTGGCAGCTCAAAAGTTGCACCTTTTCAGCACATGAGGTAAAGGGAGTAACACTTTGGCAGCTTCGGCCGGAAAGTCGCGCCTCCCCTCTTCAGTGCAACTGTACTACATAAAAGACGTGTGGCAAAGAATCTTTTCGCTACATCCGGGCAGTCCCGTGCACAAGCCATGTTCACTGTCGGGGTGTCGTTGTTTTGCTTTGACCCTGTCGTCTGCACACTTTTCGCATGTTGCGCTGCACATGTTAGCGCGTCACGTCCTGCACTTTGGCACGCCATGTCCCGCACTTTGCACTTACACGTTGGTCTTTGAAAGGTTTTGCTGGGCGCGCATATGGACAAACTTCGTCCCAGACATTCCCCCGCTTGTAATGGCCAACGCCCCGCATTGCCGGGATTGATTTGCCCATTTGCAAGACGCAAGGACACGCCCCCTTCACCCCTTTTTTGCCGCAAGGTTACGCACGCGCGCGTCCCGCCGAAGTAGTGGCTAATCATGACAAGGAATCACGCGCCCACTTCTTCCCGACGGCGCTTGCGATTTGCTTTGTCGCCAGCACCGGCAACTTGATTGCGTCCTTCAACAATTTCCTGTAAATAGAAGCTGCGGGTGCTCGAGGCTACAATGGATCTGAAAGCAACCCGGTAGCGGCCGAGAATGGAATTGCAGGACTCCGCTGCAGATGTGTTGAGACCCCTAAGCAGCTCTTGATGCACTGATGGATGGCAGTGACGGGCGCACCATGGATCCCGATGGGCGGCACTATGGAACCGGTCCAACACCCACGCCAGCTCTGACAGGCGTTTGGCAAGGGCGTTGCGGCCCTTGTGCTTCAGCGCGTAGCGCGCCACATGGCAAGCATCATCGTGGATGCAGCAACGCACATCCTGCAACCTTGCACAGATTTCCGCAAGAAAAAAGTATCTCACTGGGATGGTCTCAGCCCCTACAAACTGCTGCAAGTGGACAATGAAGCCCTCGGAAGTGCAAGCCAAAAGAACTCCGCCTAGGCGATTCTGACGAACAAGCTGCCGGTACTGCTTGGATGTCTCTTTGCTTGTGCGGCATGACACTTCTTCTTGCCCAGGAGTGCGCTGAGAGATGAAGCCCTGCTCCTCTTGCTGCGACCAATACTCTTCCAATTGCCGCGGCGTGCATTTCCCAGCCGAAACCCATTTTCCACGCTCCTGCGACGCAACGCCGCATAGGACCGCGTCAACCGACTTCAAGAGCACCTCGTACGGAAACTGACACGGCTGAGCCATGAGAACTCGGTAGCGACGATGCGCAACGACAGCCTGATCATCCAGCGGGCCCTCCTGAGCTTTCGACATATGAAGGTCACAGCGGCGCGCTTTGCGAGCGGGAGGGCACGAGCAGGGAACCGCCGTGTAAGCTTGTAAGGGCTCGCAGCGTCGCAATTCCGCCACTGGCCTGCCGCATACACGACCACTGAGTTTTAAGTTGCCATCAACCACGAGAGCTCTAAGGTCGTGCCCGCGCTCTTTTGCCATGGCCAGTCGCCGCTGAAGCATATGTTCGTCATACCACGGAGCCGTTGACAAAGTCTTTGCAAACGGCAGGCTCAAATTGACACAGCGCCCTTCTTGAGTCTCCTCCTCGTGCTGGTGCAGCCGCAGAACAAATCTCCAATAAAGCCAACTTTTGAACAGAAAGAGCCCTGGGTGCCTTGGAACACGGCCCTCAAAGCCTGCAGCCCTTGCCTCTGCTCCATGCACTTGCGCCTCGCCAGAGAACGCCACATATTGGTAGAACAAGCGGCGGGTCATCTGCTGAAGCCAGGACACAGACACTCCATGCCTGGCATCCAAGAAGAAAAACTGCAGCGAGCCAGCTGTCCAGTGAAAACGCCGCTCACTCTTGGAGATCGCGATGAAATTGTAGAAGATAGTCTTGCCGCAAAACTTGCACCCCTGTCTCCGACATCTCTTTGTCACATGTTTGACCGCGCGCCAGCCTTCAGGAAAAAGAACTGCAGCGTGAAGGCCTGCCAGTTTTCCACGAGATAGCGCTGCCCCGCACTCCGAGCAGTGCCGGGACGCTGGCTCAGCTGTGTGCATGCTGCCCTGCGCACAGATAAAGACGCATCGTGGCGCTTCGGCTTCTACGTCATTGAACAAGTAAGGACTGAAGCACCGAACAAAACACGCAACTTCGTCGGCTTGTGCTCTTGTGCCCAGCTGCTGAGTCAAATGGCCCCAGGCCGCTGGCTCAAGCATCAAACGAGAAAAGGGCTCCCAGGTTGTTCCAAGTCCCCCAAACACACAAATAAACTCAGACTTGGCAAATGCTAGAGAAGGACCAAAACAGGCTTTAAGGAAACATGAACATGTTTCTCGCATAAGATTTCGCATAAGATGTTGCGTTGTAATTGCGAGGGGCCCTTTCAGCAGTAGAGAAGAGATGGTGCAGCCATCCCTTGACAAGCCAGCCCTCTCACCCACGGGCTGCGCCGGCCTCCCAAGTGGCGAGCTGGGCCATGAGGTGGCGTAGAAGAGCGGCAGACCCACGCAGCGAAGTCCAACCGCCCCATACCCTAGGCCTACTTCAACAAGTTAACGCGTGGAGACACGGGCAGCATGGGCAGCACGGGCAGCACGGGCAGCACGGGCACGGGATCACGGGCCCACGGGCTTCACGGGCACCACGGGCTTCACGGGCACCACGGGCACGGGCACCACGGGCACCACGGGCAGCACGGGCACGGGCACCACGGGCACCACGGGCAGCACGGGCACGGGCACCACGGGCACCACGGGCACGGGCTCACGGGCCCACGGGCTTCACGGGCACCACGGGCACCACGGGCACGGTCCCAGAACGTACCTGCCCCGGAACTTCATCCAAACTGGGTCAACCATTCTTTTCATGGGGGGTGAACCCCAGGGTTGCCCATTTGAGCGCGAGGTTCTCGTTTCCGTAGAAGCCCGCTGCATTCCCCTACGGTATTCTGCCCGCAACATATGGGTGTGTCTGTTGTTCGGGGACCCCTTATCATTGTGGTTTTGCTGTTGGTTTCCCTTTAACACCACCAAGGGGTACCTTCAAAAAGACACACCCGTATCTTTGATCAGCGCGCACAACGAAATGAAACCATGATTGAGACCATAACGACTGCGGGTATTTACAGGAAAATCGAATCATTCCAGGGTCCCTGAAGTGGTGCGACATGGACATGGATTTCGTCGTCAACGGCATGTTTCTGTTTTTGGCTGGCCTCCGCCTGTCCAAAACCGCATCTTCAAATTCTCCGTGCTCTTGCACCAACATCAAGCCCAACCGGAGTGCCCTCCCGACCACTTCCGAGAACATGATCGTAAAGCGCGTGACGTGGGTGGGACACACAACACGGAGAGCTGAGGCGAAGGGTGGGTGGGTTCAACCCCTCAGAACCCGGGTGGTTGACAGGAAGCGCGCTGGTCTTCTTCCATTTCCACAACATCGGAGCTTGAACCAGAAAACACAAAGGCACCCGCCATGCTCAAGCGAAACCGCTGCAGGAACGACAAATCTGTGATCCAAGTTGAGACTGGCTAGCAACCCAAACCAAACCAAACCAAACCACATCACACCAACCAACCAACCAACCAACTAACCAACCCACCAACCCACCAAGCAAGCAAGCAAGCAAGCAAGCCAGCCAGCCAGCCAACCAACCAACCAACCAAGCAAGCAAGCAAGCAAGGAAGGAAGCAAGCAAGCCAACCAACCAACCAACCAACCAACCAACCAACCAACCAACCAACCAACCAACCAACCAACCAACCGACCGACCGACCAACCAACCAACCAACCAACCAACCACAGGTTGAGCTGCCTGCTTGGATCTAGTCCCTTCCACCTGCTTAAAAGCAAAAGAGTGGCGATCGCCTGCCCTCCACATTTCCTGATCGACAGCCGGCGCTCCGGACATTGCAAAGCCCAGGTGCCCCGCTCCCCCCTTTCGCTCGGTCAAGTTTCTAGGGTTTGATTCCTTTCCCATTATTTTCAAGCATCGTTCTTTCCCAAAACCGGATCCGTTTTCCCGATCGGGTTTCCAGAGGTTTTCTAGAAAGAAGGATCCCAGAAAGTCGTTGTCCATCCCATGTGCAGTTCTGTGGGCCATCCCATGCGACTCAAGCCGAGGTGCGCGAAGCAAAGCCATAGCGTGCCCTGGAAGATATAGAACACGCCCCGGCCAAGAGTCTCAGAGAGGAACTTGCACTTCCTTGCAGCGGGTTTCAAAAAGCGTGCGGAGAATGAGGGTGGCACGTGCTTGTATCTCCACTTCATGCACAACCCCATCAAAGAGAAACTCGACCAAAATCAGTCCAACAGGTGATGATGGTATATGATGGTGATGCTGAAACCACCCAGAAAGGAAGCAAAGGCACGTACAGATTTGACAGACTGTGGCTGAACTCTTGCTAGGCTCGACTCTGCCAAGCAACCTCCAGTGACCGTTCCTCTACAGCATGCATCAAAATTATATCACCTGTCCAAAGGACCTGAAAACAGCAGGTTGGCCTGCTGGGACCTTGACGAATGGACAACCCCAAACGATGAAAATGATCCGTTGTCAACAACCGAATTCCATCAGGCCAAGTGTCTCCAAAAGCAGGTCCTGCGCGCAAGCGACCCGGATGCAACTGATTTCCAGAGTTTTCTGTCTGGGCTAAGTACCTTTGGCCCGCTTATGTGCAGCTCTCGTGTTCAACGCTGCTTCTGCCACAAGAAGAGATTTCCACCTGCTTCCGGAATGTTCAAATGCAAGCCAGATGAACTTCTGCTTCCGGAATTGCAAACAAGCCAGATGTCCATCTGCTTCCGGAATGTTTAAAATGCAAGCCAATCGAAATATTTACCGAGTTATGCGTGTACTGAAGATCCCCGAGCAAGTCTTCTGTCTTCTCTTCCAGACATTGCCACGGGCGCCAGGGCACTCATGAGCTCACATAGGTTAATAAGGGTACAAACTTGTGGAACCCTCCCCAAAAAAGTTGGTGAGAAAGGGCACCTAGCTGGGGAACCTAGCATACCATAGTTCCCAAATCGAAAACGATTTGGAACTTTCAGACCCAGCCTGGGTTTTCGCCCTTTTTTCCCCCTGAGCCGGTGAGCACCTTATAATTTTGCCCAGATGGTTTACATGGGGATTCAACCAGAAGTAGGGGGTGTTCCAACTGACAAGAATCAACCCGCCGCGTGGCTTCAATTCAGAGTCCTGGAGTGCTTTTTCCTTTTTCCCAGTGTTTGCCCGCAAATACTCCAAAAAAATTAAACCAAGCCACCCCGTTGGTGAGCGACACATCGCGCGAAGACGACACAGACGACTCGCGCGTCGCCTGGTACTCGTTCAGGCCCGGGATCTTGGCGATGTACTCCGGCGGCGCCTCCTGGGCCGGCAGGCGCCGGCTCCATTGAGACTCGTTTGACACTCAAAGGAGGTGGGTCAAACATAGGTACCCTACATGGCTTGCCCTGTGGAAACAATGACTAAAACCTGTCTACTCTAAGGGTTGATTCCTTTCCCATTCTTTTCAACCATCGTTCTTTTCAAAAACCGGATCCGGTTTTCCTGGGTTTGCGGAGGCTTTCTAGAAAGGAGGATCCCTGGAAAAAATGGGGACGGTCGCACTGGAATGACACTCCTTTGCTCAACACTCAAAATGAAGTCCTCAAATCGCGCTGCACTGCGATGCATCTCGTTTTGCCGCGATGCTGGGACATTTGGTGACCCCCTTACTTGGGTAAAGGTGACACGCATCAATGGCTGGGGTCGGACGTTGGGATGATGTCTCATGCCCGAGCGGCAAAAAGCATGGTGGTGAGGCTGAAGACCAACCTGAGCTGGCAGCCAAAGGCCAGTGATGCCATGAGTGCCATGAGGTGAAAATGTGCAATACCCAAAATCTAGGTGTCGCATGTCCGTCCCAAATTGCCTCGTATAAGCTGCATCCTGGCTGGGTATCCAGTAAAAACCCAGGAGACGGAGCTTGAAGCCAAGTTTTGGGAGCCTGCACCGAATCTAAGCTCCAACTGCTTTTGGCGCCAAGCAGCTGGTAAATGGAGAGCACATACTTCACCGGCTCGTGCATGATCTGAGCATTCGTGCGAGATTGAAGCCCGACTCAAGATGTGCACCATGTCCTCCCCAACAGATTAACCCATCGCGGCCCATTTGTCCATGGGTCAGAATCCCGTACCCCCAGTGAACATGACAATCCCCACTAAAATCGACTAGAATGGGTGGTGCGCCTATCCCAAAATGGTACCATTGGTTATGACTTATAGTTATTTTTCGCTACTTCACCGACCTGAGAAACGGAACCCGCAAGGAACCTTCACGAGGACGGAGCTCGCCCGAAACCCATGAGCTCGCTATCATTTTGTCGCCCATCAATGACAAATCACCAAAAATCCAGACTTGACTAAGTAGCAGTGCCCAAGCTTCAATAGGCAAATGGATAACTCACCAAAGAAAGGAAAAACAAAACAAAAAACGAGTACACCCAGGTCTGCTTGATGCTTCTGAACACCAACACGGTGTCGTTCCCTGGTCGGCGTCTTGTGCTGGGATCCATCCAAGTCCGGCGCCTAGTCCTTTTAGGTTGGAAATAGATGGGTTTCCCTGGCAGATGACTACCACCAGGTAAACCAGGAATCGAAACCCATCGACTTTAATTGTTCTGCCAAAACAACCAAAAGGGACACCTATGCCTGTTGGCCGAAGAAAACAAAACACACACACAAATGCACAAGGGGGGGGGGGGGCGGAGAGTGCTATTCGTGCGCACGAAAGGAACAAGATTTGAAGTGAAGGAAGCCTCCCTTTTCCAGAGTTGATTTGTTGCAAAGTGCCCTAAACCTCAATCTGCAGCAAAGCTGATCACCGTTACTCGGACAGTATAAGACCTAGCCCCAACCTCAAAATCCTCCGGCGGTCTCAACACAGGGGGGGCCCTTTTGAGACGAGTTTAAAAAGGGAAATCAAAAGGAAATCACCCACCTGGAAGAGCCCCCCAATCTTGAGAAACCCCCAGGGAGGCGACCGTCATGGCCGACGGAAGGCCGAAGGCCAAGATGCCCGGGCGATGGAGATCAGCTTCAGCACCCCGTTGGCCACCGAGCCACAGCCTAGGAACGCAAGCCCCGCCTGGGCTCCACAAACCCGGTGCTTCGATAGGCAGGGAATGAGAATTGGAAGGCCCCCTATGAACCTTTCTTGTGGTTTCCTCTATGGGAATCAAGTGACCCAAGCCTGTCCTTTGTGGTTTCCTCGAAAAAATCCGGGCTTCAAGGGCCCCAAATCTTTTCTTGTGGCTCAGCCAAGGAAAAGAGAAACGCAAAACCCTACATGAAACCTATGAACCCTTTCTTTGTGGTTTCTTTTATTCAACGAAATCCGGGGTTCATGCCCGAAACCCGACAGTCCCAAGTTCCGGTGATAGCTCAGACGAGGAAAAGAAAACAAAAACCCTCCCAAAGGCGGGAAAATGGAGCGCTGTCAAATGTGTGGAGCCCCCCGTTTTAAACGTGACACCGCCGGACCCTGGTGAGCGCACACATAGGGTCAGTACGCACCCGAAACACAAAAATTAAAAAGCCCAGGTACCCTCGAAGAGAACTTTTCTGGAACCAAGGTGTTCCACAGCCCCCTTTTTTCAGGATTTGCAAATTGACACCACGGCTCTTGTCAGCCAGAAGCCAGGAAACCCACCCCACCCCGCCCCACCCACCCCCACCCACCCCGCCCCACCCCGGCCGGCACTGGCATACATACTTGTATGTTTGCAGGCGTGTTTTTTTGAATGATTGTTTTTGTGTTTGCAAAGTTCAAACATATACATGAATTGGAAAACAAGATATGTAAAACAATATCTGAACTTGATTTTGTAAAAGACAATGTATGTGTAGGAAATATTGAGCTTATAATATACATATCCTGAATCATTATCGATATGAATATGTATGGGGGGCTTAACCAGCCCACCCAAGGGGGTGGGGCCGGGTGGCGTGGGTGTGGGTGGGGTGTGGGGGCGGGGTGGGTGGGGTGGTGTGGGAGTGGGTGGTGTGGGAGTGGGTGGTGTGGGTGGTGTGGGTGGTGGGTGGGTGGGGATGGGGCGGGTGGGTGGGGCCGGGTGAGTGGGAACCACCAGAACCACGCAACATCGCAAGCATCATCAGCAAAAACAAAAGGAAACACTTGAAGCAAGTTGATATTTTATTGTATATTAGGAACTTAACATCATGTATAGTGTGTTTATACGCATGATGTAAGCCACACCAAGAACTTCTCACCTCATGACATGATACTGGATATTCACTTTTAGTATATGGCTTGCTTGCACATTGATGCAACTCGAGTGAATTTAGCACGCAAGCAAACAGAATATATATATATATATATTTGCATAAACCTATCTATCTATCTATCTATCTATCTATTTATCAATCTAAATGCGTCTTTACAGCTTGGGTTATAAATATATAATTGAAGAATTAAAACATTCACAAGGCAATTTGTTCACAATTCAATCATTTTTTGTTTTGGCAAGGCCCAGCAAACTGCCAGGTCAGGACAACAGTTCCAGGCTGAGGCAAGGAATGGCATCATCACCGGCACAACAGAAAACAAAACAGTTGCTTTATTGCTTTCAAGAATCAACCATTCAGAATTTGGCAAAGCATGTCTGCATTGTACAACTTGTGTTGCCATACCCTGAGCCCAGGCAAGTCGACGGTTGACCCAGCAAGTGTTGAGATGCAACAGCTATAAGTTCATCATCAGCACATGAGCCACTTTAGCCCAGTCACACCAGCCAGAAGGTGTTGCACAAAGCGGCGACCAATCATTTTGCAGCTATGTCTTGCCTGTGCGTCTTGGCCTTGGCCAGCTAGGTTGAAAGCGCATCATCTTGATGGCATCTATGTATAAAAGGATCAGCGACCAACTCCAGGATTAATGTATTTTCAGTTGTTCTTGAGATATTCCATGACATAATTTCACAGAAAGGTGTTATTCAGATTATTTTGTACAACAGATGATGTAGAGAGGAAAGAACAAGTTGCAATAGCTGGTGACAAGACTAAACATGTTGTCATTATGCATTAGAACTAACTAAGTTAGGAATACAATATCAAAAGCAATCAATATTAATATAACTCAAAAAAAAACTCAGGTGATATCCCCAACAGCATGCGGTGCTCTTTTTAGTGCTCGCACCACCCCGCAGCCCTCGCAGAACCTTGTGGAACCCTGGTGGAACCCTGGTGGAACCCTGATTAACCCTGGTGGAACCCTGGTGGAACCCTCTTGGAACCCTCGTGGAACCTTACCTCAGGGCCGCCCCGGACCACCCCGGAGCCTATCTGGGCTGAGACCCCAAAGCTTTCAGCTGTTGGGGGGAAAAAACAGAATAGGACAGAAGCAAACAGGTGAAGACAGTATCAAGGGCAAATCAAACAGCCAAAGACCCAGACACTGTCAGATCATAAACTAGATAAGAATGAAGAGGATAAATTTGTATAGCTAGAAAATGAAAGTCAAAAAGGATTCTAATAAACAGTGTGAATTTATTAGAAGTATTGTCAGGAACGAAAAAGGGAAGTATATTGCAAAGTTGCGCGGTTGTAATGATATTTCATTGGACTTGAACCATGCAGGTATCAACTGTGACATTCTTGAATGAGATTGAAAGCAGTTTGACAGAACACACTTCACATTCGTGTGGGCTTCACCACCTTGCGCTTAATACAGCAAAGCAAACAGTTCAGGAGTTGGAAAAAGTAAAGACCATTGAAATACTAAATTGCTTCAACCCGAAACTGGAAAATTGAAAACCCCTAGACTGGACTATTAAACAATAAGGAGTTCATGAATGAGCTTAAGTTTAAGAATGTTGACTACAAAAAAGACCCAAACAATAAGCTCAGGTGATATCCCCAACAGCATGCGGTGCTCTTTTTAGTGCTCGCACCACCCCGCAGCCCTCGCAGAACCTTGTGGAACCCTGGTGGAACCCTGGTGGAACCCTGGTGGAACCCTGGTGGAACCCTCGTGGAACCCTCGTGGAACCTTACCTCAGGGCCGCCCCGGACCACCCCGGAGCCTATCTGGGCTGAGACCCCAAAGCTTTCAGCTGTTGGGGAAAAACGCGTAACAGGCAAACAGCAAAAAACACCTCGTAAAACCCAGTAGAACGACTGGCGGGAAAGTGAAAGCGGCACAAGAAGCGTTCACCGAGCAGCTGCCCAGGAAGCACAAGAAGCGAATGCCCGCCGGGCCCTGCTCGATCTGGGCCACCAGCAAGCTGCCGGCCTCCACAACGCCGCGGGCCGCCCGAGGCCGCCGGGCCGGCCGAGCGAGAGGGCTGGAGGTTTGTTGGACGGGAATCCGCGCAAAGTTGGGGGAAAGCTTCGGGGCAGTGGGACCTATGTTTGGTAACATGGGAATTGGGGAGACTTGCTTCTTAGAGAGGTTTGGTTGGACGCAGAACAACCCCCCACCCAACCCCTGGCTCAGACACCCGGAGTGGCCCATAAAAAGAAAGGTCCCCCCCAATCTTCAAAGCTCGGCCCAAAGGACCGAAAGGCAAACCGAGGAAAGCGCATGACTACAAATGAAAACCAAAATGGGAAAACCAAAAAGGCCGAAAAAGGTCGGCATTGAAACAGATGAGAGAAAGTCAAAAAATGAGAGCACACTTCAAATCACCCGAAACCGCCAACAGCACTACCCTAGCTGCCGGCGGAGTTTTTGCCCAAAGCGGGGGGCTTTTGCAGTTCGTCCCAGCCCCCGTTTTCAAACATGCGCTTGGACCTTGCCAAGACATGGCTCTCTCAGAATGGGTGGCTGTCTTCGGGTTCCCTGGAGAACCACTCCAAAAAGGGTATCCTCAAACAAAAGCACAAACACACACCCACACGCACACACACACACACCCACACACACACACAAGTTCTGCCTGGCCGTGCTTGCGAGCAACCCCGTCCCTTTTTTTTTGCCCTGCCCCGCCTGGCTCCCAACCTGCTCAGCGGCTGGGGCCCTCTCTCTCGCTCTCTCTCCCTCTCTCCATGCATGGAGAACCTCCAAGGCTACCGTGTGAACTGAAGGCTCCCATGAGGCTTCACAAAAGCTCAGCTGACAGAAACCGCCTGTAGAACAGGGGAGATCCATAAAACGGACGATGGAAACAAGGCTACGAAATTTGCTACGGGGAAAACACGGACACCATTCCATATGAGTCATGATAGAAATCCGGTATTAAAATGGTTTACCCAGAACCATGTACAGAATCAAGAAGCCGGCCGCAGCTATTTATGGTTGGGATTGTCCCTTGCTAACCTTCATCTACCCAAGTTTTGATTGTGGGTCACATGTTTTCTGCATAGGCTGCAACCGTTGGTTTGTGAAGGGAACGCCTCATTCGGACATGTGGTTCTTTTTGCCCCGGCCGGGCGCCGAAAACTCACGCCCCAATCGACTTGCGCTTTCCCAAACATAGCTCCCAATACGGCCCGAGGGACCCCATGAAGAGGTCTGGCGTTTCTTCTCAGGTCCTCAGGTCAACGGGTACCTGAGAAGCCCCAAAAGTTGGTCGGCTCCAACCGAACTGAACTTGCCGGGGCCAGGTCAAGAGTGAAGCCCTAACCCTTTGGGCACTCATCCCCAACAGCTTATCGGCGCTCCGACCTTTTTCCGCGCGACCGCACGGCCGGCGGGCCTTGGCCACGTACGCCCCCGCCATGGAAGCGTACCTCGTCTCGCGGGGTTTGGCGTGACCTTTGGAAACCTGTTCGGTGGCCGTGGGTAATGGGCGCGGCAGATAGAACACCCATCTAAACCAATGGAGCCCATGCATTTCTATGCACTTCTGCAATGCTCGCCTTTTGCGATCGGCAGGGATTCGGATTCTGGCCGGGCCCCAGTCCGAAAAAACCCACTTGGGAGAGTGGATCAGGACGCACTCGTTCCCAAACACGGATTTTCTTGAGGAGCGTTCCGCATGGACACTTAGGGCCTATTTTGCAACCGTGCTTGACCAAAGGGCTTTGCCAGTGTTGCTCCAAAAAGGGCAACCTGGCACGCTCAAACCACAGCTAGGTCCTCCATTAGAGAGGGTAGAATAAGGGTACCCTTTTGGCACGTGACGAGTGTTGCGCGCGTGGGTGGTAGGGCATGCCGCCCTACTACCGGTGAAAAGAGGGGCATCAGCCCCGCACAAAAAACCTCCGGGAGGGGCTCAACCGGAGGTGTGAAAGGGAGCCGAGGCTCCACCATCAGACGGTGACCACAGGGGAGCTTTGCAACATCCCTGTGGCCACCCCAGGGGACCGAGCAACCAAGAAAGCCCATAGCTCACTGAACCAGATGGTCAGGAACGCACAGGACGAAATCCACAAAACTCCCAGCAAATTGGGAACAACAGGGCCGCACAAAGCGCCACGCAAAGCGGGCCCAGACCAGGCATCCAAACTGGGAGACTAGCACAACGTAGCACCTTCACCCGAAGGCGTTCAGAGGCCGGGACTAAACCCGAACAGAGCCAATCCCCAAAGCAGGGATTGGCGCATGCAAGGCGTAGGATGCCGCACGGGTGCCACGAAGTAAATGCTGAGCCAAAGAAAGGGCAGTCGCCAGGTAGAGGAGGCTCTGACGCGCGCAAACAGCACTCGCAGCGAAGAGTGACAGCACTGAAAGTAGCCAGCTGCAACAGGAAGGATAGGAGAAGTCGCACCTGCTATGAGCAATCAGAGGACTGCCAGCACCACTGTAGATCTGCACGGGGTCTGTACTGCTGCAAAAACTGCATATATTCGCACAATCCAGCAAGGAGGTAACCTTACCCACAAGGTACACTCCAGGAGATTGGTCACATACCCACAATGTGGCAAGTGGAAAACCCCAAAGCAGCACGACGTCGTGCAAAAAGGCAAAAGCAATCACCTCGAAGGAGAAGAGAGTGCCCACCTGGATGAGGTAAATTGCCATGACACATAGAAGAGTCACACCAGACCGTAGCACGCACCACTCTAACAGTTGCCAACAAATCCGAGTAGGGCAGGGGCCTCCACGTTGAAGAAGAGAACGGTGCTGCAGCATGGCAAGCTGCTTGGTGGACGCTTCACCGGCACATGGATGCCTAGCGAAGCCCCGGGGGCACACCTCCCGGAGGCAAGTAGCAGTGGAGCCGCAATGCCTATAAGGGTACCCTTTTTTCCTGTAGTCTATTTTAGCAGGGGAACCCTCCCCGAAAAAAGTGTAAAAGGGCACTACTGGGGGACCTAGACAGGAAACCCAGGCCGAGCCACTTCTTCGCCGCGGCTTGCACCTGGGCTCAAAAGCTCTCCCTCCACAAACCTCCTTTGGGCTCACCCCCATGGCGTGGGGCGCCCGTGGAGACTGGGGGCCCCCCCCACATTGCCGTAAAGGGCGTCCATGGCTTCCAAGACCATGGCTTCCATCGCCAGAAATTGGCACGGCCAACTGGCAAAACAGCACAGCATCCAACTCGTCCACCGAAAGAAGAAAACAAGCAGGGCGCACTCAAGCACTCAATCCTGAAAGCCCCAAGTTTTAACCCAAAGAAGCTGACTGAAGCGATGGGGATGTTGCTGTTGTGTGAGGAACCCCACTTTTTGGCTGCTTTCAAAGGGGGGCCAAAGGAAACCATGTTTTTTCTTTTTTTTTGGGGGGGGAGGGGTGCGCAAAAATAGACAAACCCATGTTTGAACCAAAGGAGCACTCTCTCTCCCATCTTCCCCTGGTGTTGTGTGCTTCCCCCGTTTTGAGGGAGCGATTTCTGGCCGCGCCTCGGGATCTCTGCAAAACGCCGAGATCTTCCTGAGCGTCACGTCGCGGTTCGGGGTTTCGCCCGCATGGGTATGTTCTGTTCCTCGGTCCTCCAGTAGAGAGGTTAGAATAAAGGTAACCCAACTTTTTTCTGTGTCTTTAGTAGGGGAACCCTCCAAACCAAAAAGGGCAAAAGGGCAAAAGGGCACTACTGGGGGACCTAGGTTATCTCGAGATCCTTGGCTTGTCGCCGTGCGCCAACCATGTTGGAAGGGATTCCCATCAAAAATCATAGCCGCGGTTCGGTGAATGTGGCATGATCACTCTTCCCTTCTCGAAGGAGGGGGTTTGACCAATGATACAGCCTCAAGCCCTGCGAAACTGCGGGGCTATCTGTAGGCAAACACCTTGGACGAGTTGCGTACATGGGTGTGTTCTTCTTTCGCGGAACCCCCCCGCCCCCTTCCCCCCCAAATGGCTTCCTTTGATTTTCCGTTTAAAATCAACCCGAAAACCCTTTTCCTTAAACACACATGCATACATGGTGATGGTCCTTTTCTGGTCCTCTTAAAATCAACCAAGAAATGATGTCCTCTATAAAAGAAAAAACAGATGCATATATGGTGGTGGTCCTTTCATGTTCCTCTTGGAATCAACCAAACAAATCATAAATGGTGGTGTCCCTTTTAGTTTCCTCTCAAAATCAACCCAAAAAGGATGTCCCTAAAAAAGGACGTGTATAAATGATGATGTTGCTTTTATTCTCCTCTTAAAATCAACCAAACATTGATTTCACTAAACACAAACGGACCCATACTCCCCTCTTTACACATGCATGTAGCCAGCCGAGCCCTCAAAGGCCTCACCTCCGAGAAAAAAAGGACAAAAAAAACGGAAGGTTGAATGATGCCCAAGGAAGATGCACTTCTTTTTGTGTTCCCAATATGCCGGGGGTGTCCTTATCTCTTTTTGGAGCCGGTGCCGCTGTTGCTTCGGTTTTGAAGATAAAACCAAAGGGAAACCGGGGTGTCGGTTTTGAGGGTGCCATTTTTCTTGTGGTTTTGAAGGGGAACCAAACGGAAAACCCACCGTTTTGGGGATGCCCTCAAAAAGACACACCCTTGTGGCATCTGCAGCAAAACTCAGACAGCTTGAGCAGAATCCAACGGAAGTCAGCGATCAGCTTTCAGCCAAGTCCATCAGAAACCAGAGCACCCTAAAGACTGAGGGATATACCAAGCATCCGCGATGAGGATACATCTGGATCAGCTGTTTGATTCTGAAAACCATGTGCTGTGAGCCTTAAAATGTAAAAGAACTTCAAAAGAGGTCCCAAATATGGATCTTGGAAAAGCAGGGTCCTCATCCTTCAGTCTGCCTGACGAAACTGCCCCGACCGCGCCCACAGCCCTGCTTAAACAAATCACAGGCCTGCGAGCAATCCTGATCAGCCCTCGAGCTTTGTCAGTGTCCCCCCCGCTGCTTGCGGGGCAATAAGGGCCCGTAATAGAAATTGGCTTCTGCACTTTTGGGGGGGCCATAAGGCTCTACACTCTACCAAGACCAGGTCGAAACGAATTGGAACCTTGAAATCACCTCTTTTTACCCAAAAGTCCCCCTCCCCCTCCCCCTTCCTCTCCCCCCCTCCAAAAAGAATTCGAAGAAAAAACAACCCCTATCTTCTTCTTTTTTTGGGGGGGGAGGAGGCATCCCCTTTTCTGCGGCCACACACCCAAAACGCCCCCCAAAAGCCCCCACCCCTCTCCCCCCCTTGCGCACCCCCCCAGCCATTCAGCTTCAGCCCAAGCGGCTGCTGCGCCTCCGCAGCGTAGGCCGGGAACTTCTCCTGGCAGGTGGCCAGGATCTGCTTCTGCACCTCCGAGGCGGTGACGCGGGTGGCTCCGGGAGCCGCTTTTAGGGTACCCTGGGATGGGATGGGCTGGTTGGATGGGGTTGGGAGGCGCGGGTGGGATGGATCTCTCAAGCCCAGGATCCCAAACTCCGCTCCGTGGGCCAGCAAGCTGTGGAGGGGGGTGGGCTTGGGGATGGGATAGGGATGTTGATCCCTGGGGTTGGATGTTTTTTTTGCTGCTGATGGTCAGAAACGAATTAATTGGTAGAGTTCCTGAGAAGAACAGAACAGAAAAGTCATCATCATACTCTTTTTCACTACACTGTCCTACAAGAACCTGGTGAAAAACGGAGGCAGGACAAATCCTATGTAGAGCTAAGATTCACAAGCAGGGCTGGTGGATATGACCACTTCTGTGATACAAAAGGACTTCCCAAAGACTAACCCCGCATATAAAGAGGGGATTCTCTTGTTTCACAGAAGTGGTTGGATAAACCCCGAGTATTTCACAACCCTGGACCAACGGGTTTTCCGCTAAGTTGATCAACTGGTGGTTTCCCCTGGTGCGCTCCCCACTTTTGGGGGGAGCTAACCCACAAAGCGGGCGAAAAGGCGCAGAAACTCCCTGACAGAGCACTGGGATGGGTGGCAAACCACTGCCTTGGGCCTTTTGGTGCATCGCCACGCGCCTCCGGACAAAACACATAAACCCTGGGGGGGGTTAAATAAATAGGGGTCTGAATTTGTGTAAGACATAACAAGGCATGACCCCTTTTCATGCGCTTTGGGTTGCGTTAGGGGAGGAACTGAAACAAGAAAACTCCCGTCCCGAGCGACTTGAAGCAACCAAGGAACCAAACAAAGTCCAGGAACTCGCTGGTTTTCAGGGAAGCACAAGCGACACCGACCGGTTTGGGGGACCACTATTTGAAGAAACACCCATATATATATATATATGTGTGGTCAAGACACACCCGTTTTCTTTTTGTAGGGATGGGGCATTCATCTCTTAGCAGAGTAGTGGGGGGTTTAAGAAACCAGTGTGCAGAGACGGGGAGCATCACCCCCTCGGTTCCTTGAGTCGGCTGAAAATATCAAACCGTCAAAGGCCCAATCCAAAAAAATCCGAACGGCGTAACGGACTGCCCTTGGTGCAACCAGAAGCCAACTTCCGAACTCTAGTCTTGGTGGGGTCCAAGGGGTCCAACTGGCTGTTTTTTTTTGCCACCTTCAAAGCTCCAAGAAAAAGAGATCCGAGTTTAGAAGCCCCCCAAACCTGACATAAGGATTGGATCGCCAATTGACAAACTACGTCACTATGTAGTGAGCGCACTTTTTTACCCTGCCGCACAGGGGGCCCCTTCAAAAAAGAGAATGGTCCAAACCAGGACCTTGTGTCAGATGTTACTTGGTGGGAGAGACGGTCCCCCTCCCGCTCATTTTGGTCGACGAATCTTCGCCGCGCCTCAGGATCCTGCAGCATCGACATGGCGTCCTTGCCGGTCTTCGCCGCTTGGTCCTTCATGGCCTGCTGGACCTTCGGGTCATTGATCCTCGGCTTCGGCTTACCGGGCGAAGCTGTCCCGTGGCTGTGGGTGTCATATATGATATGTTTTTCGGGGGCTGAGGAAAATAAACGGGCAGTGCTTTTTGGCTGTCCGAAAGGTGTGAATCATATTTGTTTAGGGGGCTGAGGAAAATGGCGCGTTATTCACTTGGTTCTCTTTAAAACCGCAAACAAAGGGGTACCCTCAAAAAAGACACACCCCTGCGACCTTCCTGCGCAGCTGAGAAGGAAACCGTTTCCACAAGTTGGTTGCTTGGAGACATATTGTAACTCCCAGCGCGAATCAGTTTGGAAAGGAACTCAAAAAGTCCCAGCCACCAAAACATGTTGAATTCTGGATCCCAAGGAAAAGGACGTCTCCCAATTCATCAGCAAGGGGCCCTTTCAAAAAGCCCTCTGGGTTAAAGTGTTTCTTGACCCAATTTGAGCTCAACAATCCTTTCCGCGCGCAAGCCTAGCGGAGTGTCAAGATAGACCAGGACCCCTCGACGAAAGGATTGAAATGGGACCAGCACAATGAGTTCAATCCAGGATTTGCTAGTTGTGCCTCCTGGGCCCTGCAAGTGATCGTCACAGACCGGGCTTCCCAAGCCCGAGCCGGCCAAAAATATATATCAAATCAACCGTTCCAGAGATAGTCCCCTGCAGGCTTCAGAAACTGGAACAAACAAATACCGCGGGTCAAAATATGTGCTTACCGCAAACGGCGGTAAGGCCATGGTATGCTGAGTCCTTTGATATTTCTGGGCTGCCCGTTTTCAGATCCCCCGCTACAAGTGACTAACTTTTAGTGGGTTAAACTCGGAAACTACCACTAAACACTAAACGGCTAAAAGGCTAAGGATCCGGATGGCTGGGAGCCACCAAGAAATTTCTTTTGACCAGTTTCACCATGGACGGATCTGACCGAACATCGAAGCTTTTAGCCGGGAGGCAGCTTCTGCTTGACATCATCCGGGATCTCAACCGACATCTTTGCACTTCGACGGCAAACGGTTTCTTGGCCTCGCCGCTTTCGAACCGCGCCGGTTTTTGCGGGCGCGCGATTTCTTTTTCTGACCCATCCTTTCAATTCGAGAGACTCTACGATTCGGCTTCAACAGAACAAGGGGAACAGGTGCGGTAGTGAGTTCCAGGCGCATCCGGCTCAGTCAATCAGAGTCCAATTCTAGTCGACTCCGCAGCTGGGAGAGCCAAGCTTGAGGCCAAGACCACTCGAAGACACCGTAAACTCGGGATTTCTGCAAAGGATGCAGTCGCACCCAGAAAACAGGAGCCCGGAGCCCTCTTTGGGCTTGACGGCAGCTGGCCAAGCCTTGCGAAGCTCTGTCTGGACGCTCTCGTGAGATCTTGAGCCAAAGCAAGACGCGGCCAAAACGCGGGGCTGGTGATGTCCGAATGCGCCCTGGGCTTATGGGATGTGCCTTGCACCAGTCCTCCTTCCCAGTAGAGACTGCAAGCTCGACCCGGCCAAAAGACAATGCTTTGCACAAATGACTAAACCGACCTCTTTCAAAGTCTGGCGGCGGTCTCAAAACAGCATGCCGGCTTCCAGGCAGGGACAAACTCAACGACGCGACACGCAAGAACAGAGTTCGATCGCGAAAGGCGCTTCAGCCCAAATCTGTCCTTGTGCCTTCGAAAAAAGACGGAACCAACGGCACTACCCGCCGATTTCCGAAAGGGCGCGGCAGTTAAAACGAAGGACCCCACAGCAGCACCAGGTATGTGTTTGTTAGAAGGTTTGCTTTCCCCCAAACTCCCCGTGGTGTGTGTGTGTGTGTGCGCCCTGTTTTTTTTTGGCCCGGGAGCAGCATTCCCAAAACCCTCTCCCGCGGCTCCTGGGAGGCTCCCAACATCTTTGGCCGTGGCCTCGCGAAGGCCCACGCTGGTGGATGGCTCTGGCCCAGGCTAAGGTGGGGTGCACTTCCCCGCGTAGAAATTCAGCCGGCTGAGGGATGTTTGAGGGACAAGTTGCAACTCTGCTAGCACCCTACCCTAAATTCGTTTTCGTAAGCGAATTATTATCTTCGCCACTCTAATTTCCGTATCGAAAATCATCTTCATTCTTGCTTTCGCGGCCCATTCGGCTCCGTGCTATATATCTAAAGGAGAGCTATCTGATGATTTCTGGCCCAGGGTCAAATAAACAGGTCGCAAGTTGGAACACAAATGGTGCCGAAGATAAATGGACCCTGTCACCACAGCACAAGCAGCAAGGTGTTGGATGGTCTAAACCTCATCTTAGGGACAGCTTCCCACCAAAAACTCGGGAAAACCATCACAAAGCTGCACTTCCCCATTTCCAGTGCATCTTTCCAGAAACAAAACCGCCTCAACCCCTACGTCGAGTGTTCCAGCAGAAGCCTCGAAACTCATCAAGCCGGAGCATACAGGCTTGCCTCTCTTCCGGCTTCGTCGTCTTGCGCCTTAGCAAGATGTGCTCACACAACCTGTCTCCGAATTGGCGTTTCTCAGCCAGGTCGATTGCAATCAAGCAGACAGCAAACGCAAACAGCAAACGACTGTTGGTTGCAACAATTGGAAAAAATACACCAGCATAGACCCCAGAGCACCCCCAAAGCACCCCAAACAGCACCTGCACCAACACCCCAAGCTGCACGTCCCCTAGTGAGCCGTCAATCTCGCAACTCACTTTCCCTTCTTCAAAAGAAGTTGGAACCACTCTTGCTTTCAGCTATCTGGGGGATAAACATTGATGATTGTATAGAATCCAAACTTTCGGTTGCACCAAACACATATAAAGATGATAAACACCCCCCCAAAAAAATAAAAATAAATAAATATATATATTAAAAAAAAAAAAAAAAAAAAAAAAAAAAAAAAAAGAGGCCCTGAGACCGCCCTTCCGCAAGAAATGATCCGCAGGCTTGATCCGCAGGCTTTGGGTCCCCGGCGGTTTGGTCACCACCTTCTTCGCCTTGGCCCATGAGCGGCGCTTGCGTGGACCGGGGCCGCTTCGAGACATCTACCAGAAGGTGTTGCGCCAAGGGAAAAGAGAAGGGTCTACAGAAGGTGTTTTTCTTTGGGGGCCGTTTTTTTTTTTTCTTTTCTGGGAGACATCTGCAGAAGCATGGGGAATTACTCCAGCGCATCCAAGGGAGCAGCTCAACATCTCAAAATCTTAAGATGCCGGGGCGTCATATTCGAATACTGGGGCGGGCAGGAAACTAGATGTCCTTTTGGTGTCCTTTTTGGGAAAATAGATGACCCTGGTTGATTGAACCACCAGGTAAACCAGGAATCGCCCTCTATGTTTAAACCAAATCAAGCAAAAAGGACACCTATGTACAGAAGGGCTTTCATCGAGAAAGACACAAAAACATCTGCCGCTGGGATGGTGCCGTTCTGCATTTGGGGATTCTTGTGAGTGCGGGGAAGCCCTTTCGGAGAAGCGTTCCGGTTTGCGACGCCATGAAATCCGTTCAGCGAAACCCGCGCACCTTGGTGGCAACAGGAACACCTCCACCAGCAGCGTCTGAGGCGGCCTGGAGACGAAAGCGACGAGAGCCTCTGCAAGCTAAAGTCCACTGACTTAAGAAAATTGAGTGGCAATGCAACCCTCGTTTGTTGCTACGTGCACTAACAGGGACGGGTCCCTCGAGAACTGGTCGATTCCGATTGCAAGCTTCTTGTGCGCAAAATTGGGAACCGTCAAATCGAGTGGTTTCGCATTGGCTTCTCTTTGTCGCTTTGGTCTCAATTTAATCCCTCCAAGGGAAAAGTGTGCAAACCGGCTATTCCTTAATTGATATAGTAGTGGCTGCAAAGTGGCAGCTGACTAGCGAGTTTTTGGACACCTCGCTAATTCGCTTGCTGGCTTGCGGTGAAATGGCCATCCGTTGCATATTTCGGTCACCAGCGCAACAACTATGACCGAGGCTGCAGCTTGTCCCGCCAAGTGATATGCATTCTTGATCCTTGCCCAGACTGCCCAGCTCTGACGTCTGACCCCCAGCCCCAAGAAAGGGGGTACCCCGTACCCACAACACCCAGACACCTCACGAGAAAAAAAAAAAAAAACGAGGCTTCGCACCTTCAACTCCGTGCGCCGGGTTGGCTGGGACCGGCCCCTCGGCTTCTCCTGCGGCTCGCGTCTGTTTTTCTTTCCTCAAGGCACCCCGTTTTGGGCTTGTTGAACCAGGAAAAAACCCAGGGGCACACCCAACTGGTGTTTTATGTTTTTTGGGGGAACCACGGCGACACCCACCATGTTTCGCTTTTTTAAGGGGGGCCCCCTATTTTAAGACACATTTTGGAAGATTGAGTCGCATCCAGCGGGATCCAACCAGAAGCAGTGGCTTTCCGTGGGCTTGGTGAAAATCAGCGTTTGCCCCTTTCTGCACTGGGGCTTGGCCCCTGGAGTTTCTTCCCGGTCTGACTGCCCCTCTTTTCCTAAGACCATTGGACATATGTGGACCAAACCTCGTGCGGCTGTGAGGTTTCAGGGGAAAAAAGACTCATGGCACCGGTTGATCAAGAAGTTGGCCAGACCGTGGATCGAAATCCGTGCGCACCGCTTGACCATGGTTGAAACCATAAGGTTTGTTGGTATTTACGTTGGTTTGGTTTCTGAGTTCTGTGGTGCGAAATGGGTTTCGCAACCATCAGAATAAAAGCAACTAGGTCCTCCAGTAGAGAGGTTTGAATACGGGTACCCTGTTTTCTGTAGTTTATTTTAGTAGGGGAAAACTCCCAACCAAAAAAGGGGGTGAGAAAGGGCACCACTGGGGGACCTAGACAAAAGAGGAAAGCTTTCCGCATTCCCATTGCCGGTCTGAAAGGCCCTCTGTCCTCAGCACTCTTCCTGGGCTCCTGAAGCTGCGCAAATGGCAGGCCGTGCCAGAAAGCCAAGTGTACTCGGCTGTCCGTTTTCAGTTCCCCTGCGAAAAGCGACGAACTTTTAGTGGGCGAACTGGAAACCCGCAAAATCCACCAAACCGAGGCCAAATGGAACCCCCCCCCCAGTGGGCCAATCAAAAATCAAATGGAAACCCCGCCAAATCCACCAAACCCTAAAAACCTAAGGCTCCGCAGAGCCCAGTGAGCGTTCAAGATTCGTTCGGCGCGTGGAAGTTCTAAGGCTTGGGAGGAATTTTCAGGCCTTTTGGGGCCAAGCCATGTGGGGCGGCGAAACGCCGAAGTAATTGGCGTATGCGTGTATATGTTGTGTATATATATATATATGCATATTTGATAAAGTCGACGATACATACGCATGTATTGAGGTACTATGTGCTATGTTGCCCTTGTTCAGCTTTGATTGTTTATGACCAATCTTGACATGCTATGTAGTAGATGTTGT